AAAAAAGTAATATTTTTGTCTTTCTAAGCACTATAGAATTTCTAAGCACTATTTCTTTTCAAAAACCTTGAGAGAAAAATTTGGTGAGTTTTATTAGTTACCAACATGCTTTATCTCACTGTAAAAAAAAACAAATTCTACCCATTTCAACTTAAAAACTTAAAAGTTCAGTTGCTGCCTTACATTTGTAAGTATAATCAACTTGGTTGTACAACTTAAAAATCAAGCTGAATTTCATATAACTTATGAAAAAAGTTTAAACTGAACATAAGTTGCCATCATATCACTCATCATTTCATATCACATCATCATATCATATTTTACAGTGTATTTGTTTTAGTTTGGTTGGATTGATTTGCATTTACCATTTTAAACATAATATGAATAATATATTTATATTGTTCATACATAACAAGTATTCAAGTCTTCAACTTTATAATTATGATATTTTTATAATGTAAGTGATCAAAAATATCACATGCTAAAAATAATTTGATAATGGAATGAAATGTTAATTTGCTTGTTTTAAAACTATCTTTATATTTTATTTTATATTTTTATATACTTAAGCTAAAAATAAACAGACTGTGTGCTAATGCAGAAGGATTGTTTTGGCATGTCAATCAAACATATTGTATAGAATTACACTTATTGGAAAAGTGTGTAAATGGATGGTGTCTTTTCCTGTAATTGCTCTCCGTTCAAGCATTGTAATCAATAAAACAATAGACTCTATAAAATATTAATTAACAACGACATTAACAACATGCTTAACCTAAGTTCAAGCAAAAGACTGTGAATGGATATCTCTTTGTGTCGTCTGATCTCTTTTCAAAAGGAACATAAAAGAAACATGTTTGGAAGACAAGGAAAACAAGTAGAGCGATTTGTGGAATGATTAATAGGACAGTTTGCATGTGTGAGTATTGTCACGCCCTCTCTCTGCTCCAGAGGATCCAGAGGGGATAACATTAATTTCAAAGTCAAGGTGGCTGCCAAGCTTGTCAATGCAGATGAGCTGTTTAGATGTGCTGTTGCATTAAGCCAGACTAAAGCAAACTGAACCCTATAATCACAAAAGGACCTTTCAGCCCAATACGAAATATAATAGTGATGTTAAGTGATGTTTGGACTGCTTTTGATGAAGTCCAGGTTCATCTTATCTTTTTTGTATTCGTAGATTATTTAATGGTTCCTGGATTAATTTTTTTATGTAAAAGATGCAGGATCTCAAAGTTTTTGTTAAATAGTTTGGTAAGACTGCATTGAATTTATCATTGAAGTTTTCTGCAGTTGTTGTTTTTTTCCTTCATCAGAAAAGTAGAGCATTACATCCCCCCATTAATCAAACACACCCTCTTAGATGATACTGCATTCTGCTGCAGTCTAAATCCAATCAATTTATTTTATTTTAAGATAAGTGTGCAAAGATTTTGTTTATTTGTTTTGTGTATAATTACCTGGCAACGTTTGTACATATATATACACTGTTAAAAGGTTTTTAATTGGCATTTATGGTTCCATAACGAACCGTTGACATTAATGGAATCCTTCCATTGTACAAAATGTTCTTTATAGTGGAAAAATCGTCTTCAGATTATTTAAATATTATTCGCACAAAAAAAGGTTTTTTGAGGGAGCACAAAATGGTTCTTCTATGGTATTGCTGCTCAGACACTCCTTTGGAACCTTTATTTTAATAAAAGTGTGTATATATAAAGAGTAACTTTCTTTTTCCTCCTGTTTCTTTATTTCCATATTTGAAATTATATAATAAACCTTATATAAACTCTAGGTGGTAGTATTGAGCTTTAATAGCATTAATACTGTGGCACGATTTTTCAGTCATACAGTTCTAAAATCAGATGCATTCAAACATTACAGATGACAGCAGTTTATAGCAATTGATTTAAATGAATAAAATAATTGCTGACTTTTTACTTGTAAAAGGAGGATGTCTCTCGAAAAATTAAAATTTTACCTGTGATGTAACTAAAAAGCCTAAAGTGAACGTATGTTGAGTCCATAGAGTACTGCAGGGATAGCGTGTTTTTGTAGTCCAAAACATGGACACGAGTTTTAGCACTTCCGGTTCTATCGTCCTTACGTCATTGGCTTTTTAGAGGTTTTTGGTCAAATGCGTGAAATAAGGTCTGTGGTTAAAAACAAGCTCAAGATATTTTCATGATTTATTCTAAGACATAAAATACATCAGTGATCCCCCCTTGGGTATTATAAGCTTTTATAGGCTAATGTTGGTGACGTTGAAGTCATGCAACTGTGATGTAGATCATGTATAGCCTATAGCTTTTTACTTCTGATTATTGTATTTAGGCTTCAAAATACTCATAAAATATGTGTTCATTTGTGTATATTGTCATAATGAACAAAACGTGAAAGAATCATAAAGTTTGGTTGGTCACAGAGCTTATTTTCTGCAATAGCCTAATCCCAAATCCATGAAAAACTCCTAGGGTTTCTGTCAAGGGAACCAGGGTAACGCTAACGTCCTGGTTGGTCTCCAAAATACACTATCACTGCAGCACTCTGTTCTCTCATCATTCGTTGAGCTTGTAAGTGGCAAAAGCAACAAACAATGATGGCCATACATGTGTGTGGGGTGAATGTGATTTCACCATCCTTGTTGATCCTGGAACAACATTCCAATCAACCACTCAGAATTGAGGGATACGTTTTTAAGAAAAGTTGGTTTTAGGCTTTTAATCAGGGTTAGATGCTTCTACACCCTTGTAATTCACCTATCATGTGTTAGGGAAGAACCAGGCACTGAAGAATTAATAGGATCTCAATTTAACAGCATCTCCGCTGCTGTACCCTTGAGCAAATCATTACGGTTCTAGCAGGGCGATGAGAATGGCAAGTTACTGACTGGCTAGTCATGAAAAATACTGGGGTCAAAATACGGCTGTTAAGTGCCTAACCACATTTTGGTCTGCTAGTGGAAAAATGGGCCCAGAATATTTACAGAGAGGGTTTTTGTCACTACAGTTATTGAATATTAAAACCTCAGAGTCTAAAGAATGTAATAAATCATTTCTGAAGAGGCTTCCGCATCATATCCAACTACAGCAGCTATATCTTCTACCAAAAGGAAAAAAAAAAAAAAAAAAAAAACAAAGATTGAAAGAAAAAAAATAACATCAACAGTCTAGGTTTACATCTATCACAGATCTGGAAATATGTGAACTTCCTCATAACAACTAAAGTATGTATGCGTTAATGCATAAAATATGCCAGCTTAGCTCAGAAAACCGGTCAGCTAACATCTGTCTATGAAAAGTTGAACAGAATATGATACACACACACACAAAACTACAGAAACAGTTTTATTTAATGACAAAAATATATACACAATCATAATTACTTCATATCAGCTAAGAACCTGTACAGATGATCAGGTAGGAAAGATAAATATTTACATTCGGCACCTTTATTACATTATTCTCCTTTTTTTAAAATACAGAAGTAGTCAACTATGCCTTGTAATGTAGGCTAGTGCCACTACATTCAACTTTGCTGTTCCTAATACAACAAAGTTATTATATGGCTGCCATCTCCAACATATTTTAAGACAAAGTCATAAAATCTTTTAACAATCAAAACGTCCTTTAAACAGAAATACAAAAGTAGACAATTATTTCACAGTCTTGAACCGGAACAGACAGGACAGACCAGAGGACAGAAAAAAATTAATAAGCTTGGACAGTAGCAGCAACATTTCAGATGATACTATGTTAGAGCGCATAATTCCACTGAATATTCTCAAAGGATTGTTCTCTACTATCGCATAATACAATATCTTTTAAAAGACCATTTAGATGGAAACCTTATCACTGTAGTTTCAGTGGAAAAATAAATACCCACACAACCATTAATAATTGTCCCAAATGTGACTGTGATATACAAGATAAATATAAATACAACTGTGCTTTTTATTTAATGGCTCAAGTAACAAACACCATTATAGGGACGGTTAACGGTTCTGTGAAGCACAAACTCAGTAATCAGTACAGCCACAAAACCAGGAAAGAGCCATTTCATACTGACTCTTCCCATGTGTTATTCAAACCTGAAAGAGTCTTATATCAATCGTTCTTCAGCTGGTTTTACATACTGTAACTTCAGTGAATAAGAGCTGCAGTGAACTCATGACAGAAACATGCACAGAATGAGAGCGAGAACATGGGTGTCGTCCTTTCAGAGAAATCCAGCTAAAAATGCCCAATTTAAATGCCTGGAAACCTGTCCAACCAGTCAGCACAGATAATTCAAGTTTCTGTGACATCATGAGGTGGACACACTGAACTAGTATGCAATACCTACACACCCAGGGAAGCATGGATGAAATTTAGAAAGGGTGGCCAAATGAAACATGTGAAGTTGTACATTTACATTAGGAATCTTTTGACAAATTGCTCACTTGTTCTTTGACTAGGAGCACAGATTACAAGGATCTTGGCACATGCTTCAACATACACCATGTTTCAGCTGGGTTCAGGCCATGTTATCAAGTCTCCAAAGAGTAAATAAACATGGACTTTTGAAGATTAGAAACCGTGGCCTGTAAGACTGGGGGGAAAAGTCATAGAGGACCCATAGGTTTTAAAATCACCCTCCAAAAATGCCTGGAAGTTCTTAAACCATTTAAGTTCTCAACAGCAAAAACAAGAGTTGTATTTGATGCGCTTTGCTCAGCTAATACCAACTAGAAAATAATGAACAGATAACAGCCCTGAAACAGCATGAGACATAGCGATTACTGTCTGGCTGTTGTTTAAAAAATATATATATACACACACACACACACACACACACACACACACACACACACACACACCCCTTGCTTA